ATTGCGAAGTGTTTTTCCTTGCATCTGCAGCAGAATTCATTCCAGTGTGCAATAATCTTTGCTTTATCGAATAAACTCTCTCAACATATTGTTGCAGGTCGAGGAACTGCTTCGTCGTATGGCAACACTCCGACGTCCAACAATCGATGGCGGCGAGATGTCTGCAAATAACGCGCTACACTTTCTCGCCTTAGCTGACGGGTCGTCCGGTTGGTAAAGAGTCCATAGGGGACCAACTTGTCATTGTCACTTGGACTTTTTGGGAAAACACCTTTTCTCCCCCTAAAATCAGAAATAGGGACTAAGGCAAAGCAGGAACATATTTATTTTAGATGTGCATTCTGGTGGGGAGTCACCAGTAGGAAACAGTGATGAAGAAGCAGTGTTCAGCTATCAGAAAGAGTTTGGTTATGTGGATTTTGCAGCAAGAAAGGATCGTGCTAAAACCTTTAAGATTCATGTGAGTGTCAAGGTTAGCACTTGCCTTACTTAGCTGATAATCATATTATAGGAGTTTACCTGGGATCATGGGTTTAACCTCTTGAATGATCTGATCCCAGAGACCGCACAAAATCTGGATGATAAATTCGATCTAACGCAGAGACTCACATATTCATTGTGAGTTTTAGCAAATTCCCACTGTTTCGTGCCATTCAGAATTGAGAGTATGGTAGAATTACGGTATGAATAGCGCAACTAAAGGGTAACTTTGACACTGTTGAAAAGTATACCGTTTACTTTGTTTTTCGCCAACACAACTGCAGGTATATAAATTTTTGTGCTGAAATGTTGATCTTTTGTTGTACTACATTCTACCGTATCTCTGCATTAAATCACAACAGCTGGCAAATTCTGTTCGATTCATTATATGTTATCACACCAAAATCCTACTACCTATAAAATATACCTTTTCCAGTATGGGTGGATACGAGAACGTCGATACTACTGTATATCGTTGTGCCGTATGGAATTATATTCACGCTCTTTTTGGCATACGACATGATGATTATGATTATGCTAAGGTAGGTCAACTATTTTTGGGTCCACTTTCATTTTGTACGGTCCCATTTTTACGGGCTCAGCGTTCTTTTAACGCGATTTATCTGAAGTCACTTCTCAATCGATTGGTCTTTTTGAAATGGAACAAGGGTCACGATGGTTGCAATCGGGTGATGCGTATTGCGTGAGAATTCCCCACGCTCTGATCTATCTAGATAAGCTGATCCTCTGTCCTGACGAACTCTTCAAAATGCCATTTACGATAAGAC